GGAATAGAGATTTTACAGTATCCTCCCCCTGGAGTGGGGAGGGAATAGAGATTGTGCAGTATCCTTCCCCTGGAGTGGGGAGGGAATGGGGATTTTGCAGCATCCTTCCCCTGCCATGCCCACCAAGCCACGCCCACAGAACCGGCAGTAAAAAAAATTGAACTTCGCCATCATATGGGTGTATTTTCATCCAGTATTTTCTTGCGTTCGTGCATGCCCACCACATATGTTAATAGGTCCCTAGTGTCTGCTTACATTTCCAGGAAAGGCCCGATTTAGGGGCAAAGGAGAAGGAGGAAAGAGGGGGGCTGGGTGGGAAACCATCTTCCGTCCGGGTTTGACGATGGTTGGGACAGAGAATTCCTCTCTTCCCCAGATCCAGGCAATGAGCGGATGGCGAGGAACGTCCTGAAATATGAGGCGCTTTTGAGGAAGGACCAGGAGGAGGGCAAGGGAAGAATCGCGGTGCAGAGGCCCAACGTGACTCATCTGGAGACGCGAGATGCGTACGAGGAGCTCTGCCAGAGGCTGGGGTCTCAGGTGGGCGAGAGGCAGGGGCCTCAGCAAGAGGAGGGGGTTTTCCGAGGAAGAAGGATTTAGAGGAGGACCCCAAGATGATGGGTTCCTGCCTAGGTGCAGGGCAGCCCCTCTGAATGGAAGGAGACCTGTTCCTTCCTTCTCTCCTTACTTCCATCTCCTCCCTCCCTCCCTTCCATCTCTCTCCTTCTTTCCTCCCTCCCTCTCTTACTCCCTCCCTCTTCCTTTTCTTTCTTTCTCTTTTCTTTCTTTCCTTCTTTCTTTTTCTTTTCTTTCCTTCTCACTGATAACGCTGGACCTTAAAAGTCTTAAACATTGGGTCTCCCACTTCCAACAGCTTCTGCATTCTGATTTCCTTACGGTTAGCTTCTACCAGATCCCAATTTGTTTCTAACATGTTTTCTAGTCCTCATGAATCTCTCAACAATTCCAATTGACTAACCAAGAAACCTTATCCTGGAAACAGAGATTCCAAGGAGCCAGGAAGGGCATTTTTAGTAGAAGAAACCTTCATTTCCCCCCAGCCAAGGTGTAACACCCCGCCAAATACCCCCAAATGTGGCCCAAGGACAGCCTAGTGCCCCAAACAATTAAACAATCCAGAGGTTTATTTATTTAGTTATTTAGTTATTTATTTAGTTATTTAGTTATTTATTTAGTTATTTAGTTGTTATTATTTAGTTATTTAGTTATTTAGTTATTTAGTTATTTAGTTATTTAGTTATTTAGTTATTTAGTTATTTAGTTATTTAGTTAT